ACACGAGAAAAAAAGTAAAAAAGGGAAAATATATTTTAGTACTTCAAAATGAAAATAGATAGCAGCACAAGCGTCAAACCTACAAAAATTTGATTAAAATTTTATCTTATTTTTATGCTCTGAAATGTTCCCTTGAACGGGTGGGCTTGGCCGAGTGGTTACTTCGCTTATTAACTATATTATACCTTCGAAAACGTGTTGACGACTGGACCGGAACTGGACTAAACCACTGGCGCTGTCCCGCTTTTTATAATTCAAATTAAAATTTATGTAAAGATAAAACACTCATCATAATTTTTTACTAAAAATTGTTTTTTTCATTAGATTTTTGTTGGTTAGAATGGTAGTGAGTTCGATCCTCAACGGTGTCAAAATTCATAAATATTATACTTATCAGTTTTAATATTTAAATTTTTACTTTTATACATATTTTTTGTTTGTTTGATTTGAATTTTTTTGTTTTATTATAACAACGATACATTAAAAAAAAACATATATATTAGAAAATCAAACTATATTAAAAAATGAACTATATAAAAAAATTGTAAAAGCTCTAGACGCTGCTATTATGGGTGTTTAAACTAACATTTCAGTTTATTTCGTTGCGCAAAAACAAGAAATAAAATTAAAAAAAAGAAATTGAATTGAAAATTTGAATGAAAAAATTGAATAAAAAAATTGAATGAAAAATAGAATAAAAAAAATGGAATTAAAATATCAATGAAAAAAAAAAAATTCAATTATTAGTTGAGAATTATTTACTGTTAAACTTGTAGTAAATAGAAGCCAGTTATTCGATCTACCATCCGCAGAAATGCAACTGCAGACCTGATACTTGACGCACTGACTCGACCGTTTTGAATTATAAACTTAACGAGAATTTTTTTCTCAAATATCCTATCCATTCAAAAGTTATTGCAATTTTAAGTGTATTTTTTTTCTTTAAATAATAGTTTTTTATTCATTGTTATAAAAATATTTACCTTTCTCGTGATTTTTATGAGTTCGCGCTTCGCCTAATGTCAAAAGCAGCAAAAATAACTAAATATATAAAATAAAATAATAAATTAAAAATTAATTAATAAAAAATAAGAGAGATTAGACGTTGCCAGACATATATCTTAATATTCGAAATTTTTAAGAATATTAAGACTTGATCCAGGAGTTGCCTTGTCTTCTGGATTGGGTTCAAAATTACTAGGCTACAGAGTTGAACATGGGTAGTCATAAGCCCGAAAATGGGTCGGCTGCTCAACGACGGTTATACAGTAAAATAAAATCTGCATTCCTAAGTTTAAGTTTTCTCTATATTAAATTATTTTTTGTTATCCTTTTATTTCGTTACTATAAATATATTAATAAAATATGTAAACCGAAAACTATAATAATTACATATTTTATGCACAGAATGATCTTTCTAAGAAATTTCTTTTTATAAGATCTCGGGAGAAGAGCAGTTTACGTGCATGAAAGCTGATTTTGCGCACAAATGAATGAAAACGAATTTGCGCACTAAGAAAGACCATTTTTTCTACAGCACGGTTCATTTTCACTTTGCAATTATTTTCGGGGGAAATTGGTTTGCCATGCTATGGATTTGCAAAACCCAGTAGTCCTCAAAACAGATAGCAATCTTATCGTAATTTTTGTAAACAGTTCTAACCCCCTTGATCCTCAATGATGAAAGGGAATGTAATGCCTCCTCGTTTATTTATTTTTTATTTATTTAAAAAATGGAATAATACATAAAAGCGGATTATTTCATCCACAAATATACATTGACGTTAAATTTATTTTAAGTTCACAAATTATATCAATATTAAGCACAAATAAGCATTAATTGAATTATATCCCACAAAATAGTGCTTCCAATATTGTATTTATATCGCCAAAGCAAAACATAAATAGGAAATAGAACTTATGAAGCAAATATATATCCAAACATAAATTCAAATCTTAATTGAAATAAATAAAACAGGAGGTAACCAAAATAAACATAACTACATTAATTCAAATTCAAATTGGAACAGCGCACAAGGCAGCTAAAACCAAATTCAAATCTTATAAACAAGTAATAATATAAATTTACTCAAAAAAATATAAATATAATTAAAAGAAAATTAAATAAAGTTGTGCGTTTACAGAGCAGCACTTCATCAGGGGACACACTGTCTGTAAACACACAGGAGCCTTTCTGTTGTTAGTGGCAAAGCCAAAACTAACAGTGCCCCGAGGCCCCTAATGAAAATTCAAGCATAAAGAATAATAATAATAATAATTACCACATTAAATAAATATCTACCATAATAACATTCATGAAAAACTTTGTAATAAAATCACCTTTACTGAAACA